ATCATCACGACTCACCGCAAGCGTCCAGCTCATCGACGTTCATCCACACCTCTGATCTCACCGTCACCTCCACGGAAACGTATCCAGCACATCTTCTCTTCTCCGACGGTTGTACCAGGCTCTTCCCCACTGCGACCTTCTCCCCTACAGCAACCTTTCGAACATTCTCCAGCTCCGTTGACCTTTCGTCAACGCTTGCGTGCAGGCACACACTCACCTACATCCTCTCCAGAACTCCCACCTCGACGCCAGCACCAAATTCAACATGCGGGACCCTCACGCCAGCGCCAAGTCTCTGAGTCACTCGGAGACACTCCTGTACTACGTCGTCATCGTCGTCATCGCCAACGCACACGCCAAGTCTCTGTCGAGTCGCTTTCATGGGAGGAGCACGGTGACACACCTTCAGATGCTATCAATGTTGATGAGATCAAGGCTTGGCCCACTGATTTCTCCGTTGTTGAAGTTGTCGAAGGGTTTGGGGTCTGTGAACTTGCCAAACGGTCAAAGAAATCCACGGTCAAAGTCGCGTTCGAAGCGCATTTCCACATACCCTTCAAGAAATCCACCTTCCACGACAACCGTGCAAGGTGGTTCCGTGCACCTCAGACACTTCGTGACAAATACACGCGGAGTGGTGCAAAGCCTGCGCTATGGCCTGTATTCTTGGCTAAGTATCGCGCATGGGAGCTTAGTACAGTCTAGACGCCAGTATCTTCATTGATTCGTTTTGTATCATACCAGTTATTGATTTGTAACGAGCCTTTATGCCTAATATGATACACCATTGGAGTTGAACGTTGATCTCCCACAAAGCTACTCAGCGAGCCAAGTACTTAGGGCCATCACCTCCGCGACAACTTCCTCAAGCAATACTCCGACCTCCGCAATTCTTCTACCAATACGGAGGACCAGGACCTCACTTCCCCTTACATGTCTGCGTCTCGCAGGGCAACGCAAGCTTCGCACACTGGTTTGGAGATTCTGCGAGACAACTTACGTGTCATAGAGGCCCAGAGGCCCATGTCCAAAGGGCATATAAGGACTGGCAACTCGCTGTTGCTCTCCAGAAGAACGTCCCAAAAGTGAGGCGCGAGTTCAAGGTGCTGTACTTTTCGCGCATAGATTTTCAGACGTTATGTGTATCCCTAACAATATCCTGCGAGCCATTCCATTTCACAGGCGCAGGATGACGCAGACGCCAGTGATTGAATTAAATCACTCTGTCCTTACAATATGTAGATGTTCTGATGATTCAATGGACTCCCACTGCGACGGCCTCCGGTGCTCCCTCTTCAACTTCTCTAATGTAAGGCGGTTCCTGCACAGGATGACCTCATCTAAGTAGAAGTCAAACTTAACGGGCTTCATCCCTCGAGTGATTGAGTTGAACTTCCCAAACCATGAGTTTGTCTGCTCACACACGGACGAGTTGAAGTACCACTTCCCATCACTATCAACCGTAAGCTCCGGGAAGGCCATGGGGTTGCAATTTTCTTGACAAAAGAGGTCATTCTCGGAGTGCTTGCAATTGAAATGAAAGACGTCGACGGATAGGCCAATGTCGTTGAAGAATGGGTCATCTTTTACGTGCTGAGCGAGATGGCAGTTGTTATCATAAAAAATATGCGATGGTCTTGTCAGTGGATCTGGAAAGGCTTCTTTGATGAACGCCTACACACAGTTCGATTAGCTGCAGTGCGACGACGTAGAAGAGAACATACCGCAACACTGCCGACACCTTCAGCACGGTAAAATGTTCGTCGGTCATGTATAATTCCGCACGGAGCAACAATCAACACCTCGCAGTGTGTGCGGTTGCGTCCAAACTGCGCTCGAAGTTTCTTTTTCTTCTTCGGATCCACCTCAAATTCTTGCAGGCCTTCGTCTGACATATCGCCGTCAGGTACGGCGCTCTTAGGAATCACACGAGCGGGATTATCCACGATGGCACGAGACCGCTCAAGTCGTTCGCGAAGCTGGAAATGTGATTGACCACGCAAGGCATGCAGCGCCTCAACAGCCTTGTGGTCTGGGTCTTGACATGTCTTGCTGCCTGGGGTAATACTGTTGGTGCAGCTGATGATTGCGCACTGGTTCCCATGCTCGGCCATATGCAAATGACAAAAGCGGTCATTTACTGACCGCAGAGACTCAAAGCAGTAAGGAACCGAGCAGCATGGTCTGCTGACTGTGACCCCATCAACAACAACAACGCGAACAAACTGTGCAGCTGTAGAGACAAAAAATACGTCAATGAGATTGTCGACAGTGTAATTTATTGACGGATAGACCTGCATCAGTAGAAGCCTCATATACACGGCAACACTTTGTGCATTTGTGACGGCGAGCATCAGGCTGCCCGAAGGAACGCATACGCTGGTTGCGATGTGCCATGGCATCATTGAACCGCTCTGATTGAGTCCCGGTCTGTTTGACGATGAGGGAGCGCTTGCGATGACGGCAGTCCTCGAGAAGAGAGATAATTATGAAGGTATCCCAAACATGGTCCAGTGTGACCTCAGGCGAAGGCCACTGAAGAGGAAACTCGTTTTGACGGCTGACAGAAGAGTTGTAGATTCGGGCACAGTTAGTTCCCGACGTGCTTGAGATATGGTCAGTTACCCGACTTAGACAGTGCGGCAATGTAAACACACCAAGCGACGTGCATCATGGTCTTCCAGAGCTGACCCACCCCAATATCAACATAGTGGTGCGTACCAACTTGAATGGCATCAGGCAGTCCTTCCGTGTAGTCGTAGTAGATACGGTCCTTATCACCGTGACTGACTTTGTAATTGTGGTGATAAGTGATTTTGCAGCCTGGCACCCATTCAACATTGACTTCGGCTACAATGAGACGGACATAACACGCACGTTCGCATCGCATTGCAACATCATATGCAGGCATCGTCCCATGTTCGAGACTCACATACACAACTCGGACTTGTTCAACCTTGTTCAAAAGCAACCCGTTTGCTCGTCGTTCACAAGTTGCTTCTGTGCACATCTTGAACGGAGGGTAGAATGTCTTGTAGGCTAGTATACAGTCCTCCGTCAGTAACGACTTGAGTCAAATTCACACCGGCACTGACTCAGGCCATGAGGATAACCGAATTGTTCGAACAGTGAGTGGGTGTTGTGGTGCAGCGTGAATCTGTCTTTCCAGATATCGTGTTTTAAGGTGGACCAGCAGATTCGCACTGAGTCTTGTGTCAGGGAGCATGCGGAGCCCAAAAACAAAGACACGCTAGGAGGCATGAAGTCCGGAGGTGTAGATACATCATATGTTGCAGGCTGGGCTAATATCATGTCTTCCTTGACAGCAGAGGCCAAGGTAACAAAGGTCAGAATAGTCTCGAGTGAGAGTCCATGAATATTTGAGAGTGCTTGGCCTAAACATACGAGCTCGACCATTGTAGCAACCAATTAATACTACGAGCCGCCGCACTACTAGTGACGAAAAAAAATACTATGTTTGGTGCTATTTGTGGTCGGCCGGAATAGGCAGACGGACCGGACAGACGGACGGACAGACGGACGGACCGGACTTTCGAGAAATCAGGTGCCCTCGAGAACACTGGCAGGACATTGTCATAGCACATCAACGTCGAGGGTGTTTCAATAGCCTCAGAAGATTCATGCTGAGGGATCCTATGGAAGGGCATCAGTAGAGGTCCCAGAGGCATGCAAGATCACTCGAGTATAGGCTTCAAAGTCCCACCGTCAGTCGCCGCATCTCTCAAAGTAAGATTCCTCACCAGATCTCTTCGGGCTCCGTACCACGCTCTAGATCCTCCTTGATAGCCTGTCAGTGCGTAAGGACTTTCCATAGGTTGAACTAGCCGTACAAGAGAAACACTCCCAAAACACTCCCGAACTCTTGAGTGTTGGATGAATAGCGTACATCAAATTTATGTAAAGGCTACTAGATGTCCACTAGAGTCCGCGCATTTTTGGGAAAACATCTATTACTCCACATCGCACAAACATAAAAAAATAATTCTTTGACAGTTCGATAGCCTGACATCGAAAGTATAACATCTGCTAGTTTTTTTTTCGAAACTCGACGTATTGAGTCCAGCGGAGAGTTACCGCGCAGAAAAGTGCATTTTCCCTAGAATTCGCGCACTTGGTCACACTATGTCACACGTCTGCCGCAATGCCTTTTCACACTCCACAGTCATTTCGGCATTGCGGAGTTTTGATTTACACAGCTCGATGTAACGCTTTGGATAGATTGTCACGTCTGAGGTATATTTCTTTTATTGCGAATGATCCTAACAAGCATGTGGCCCCGGAGAAAATTGTTTTCGTATTATCTCATTGTGTATAATCATTATGCCGCATTCCAGAATTTTATGTGATGATCTGACCTTCAGAGTGAGCTTTCTATGCACAAAAATAGTGTTTACCACCAATGAGTTGGCCATCGCACGAGATCCACTTCGATTTTCTTCAAACAAAAAACATAGCACTATGTATTATGTTGGGTAAAACCTAGATCCAACATACATAAGGATTCCGTGCAGAATTGCATGTGCTAGAGTCAATGCGCGGACTCTTGGGACACACGGACTCGTGGGACTATCTAGTAATACCCCCAATGAGACGAGCACATTGTCTATTTTCCAACCCAAGCACTCGATAGAGTGGACGCCTAGTCTCCCCTAGCCAGACCATATAGAAGGAAGACAGTCGTTCCTTCTTGATTATGGTCTGCTTTCGTTGGCGCCATCAATACCGTTGTACACTTTGGTTGCCTTATTTGGAATGAAAAATTCTTGCCGCAATGTTCGGCAACGACTATCTGAGTGGAGATTGATTATATTGCAAATTGCCTTCAGTGTGTCCCAGTTGCGTCGCATCGCGTCTCAAGATTACAGCTCTTTGCGTAAAGGATGGCAGTGGCATGAAAATTTCGTTCAATTAGGAAACATGGGACTTTGTGAAATTTTGCTCCTGTAGCCTTGTAGTACCCTTATTATCATCCTCGAAACATGGGATTTCGCAAGATCAGCCGTGACGTGAAGCTCACAGCAATTCGACTCCATGAACGGAACCTTCTGAGCCTTCCGGACATCTTAGATTCCTGCGGATTTTCCGAACGCACCTGGTTTCGGATTTTGAGGCTCTGGCGCGAAACTGGCGATGTCGTGAACCGTCAGCCTAGCGCAGTAATGCGTGGTCGTCTGTGTGCTCTCGATTGTGAAGATATTGATTGCCTGCTTCGTCTTGTAAGGCAAAATCCCGACTATTTTTTGGACGAGCTCATGCACCTCCTCGCAACAAACCAATTCATATCTGTCCATTTCACGACAATCTTCCGCGAGCTCGAACGTGCTGATGTGAGCTACAAGAAACTCAAGCGCATTGCCAAGGAACGCAACGAGACTCTGCGTGCTGCATTCATCGCCCGCATGGCTCAGTATGACCCATCAGAGTTGGGATTTATTGACGAGACGTCAAAAGATGAGCGAACACCTGGTAGATGCTACGGACGATCGAGGACGGGCACACGTGCAGAGAAAAAGCAGGTGTTTGTACGTGGACGACGGACATCCACAGAAGCTCTCCTCACACTGGATGGCATTGTTGCTGCAACTGTTGTCGAAGGCTCTATGACCCAGGAGTTGTTCCTAGAATGGCTTGAGAACATTGTCGTGAGTCTCGTCATGAATATGTATTGTTGAATCTCGATGTACTAACAAAACAAATTGTCAGCTCCCAAAGTGTTCGGCCTATCCTGGCCCCCTTAGCGTCCTCGTAATGGACAATGCAAAAATACATCACGGTGCTGATGTTCTCGAGCTTGTTGATCGTTTCGGTACGTGCATTCACTATATTTTGTGTCTGCAGGTGTACGTATCGAGTTTCTCCCACCATATTCACCCGACCTCAACCCTATCGAGGAAGCCTTCTCAAAAATCAAACACTGGCTCCGTCGTCATCAAGACTACTATCTGGCCACTACAGGTGATGGGATCATGTTTGATATGTACGAGGTTCTCGAGATTGTCACTCCGGATGATGCACATGGGTATTTTATTCATGCAGGGTACTTCTAGACAAGCGAGAGCAATAGAAAGTCCAAAAGACGAGCGAGAGCAATGAAAGGTCTAAAATTGTATAGTATACATGCAGGTCATTAGCACAATTGATTATAGAAGTCCATTTTCGAAGAAGTCCAATCCGATGCCAAGTCCTGTAAAGTTACAATTTCAAGTATCAAACACGAGGGACAGACCACCGTTCAACAGCATCACGTAGCGCAGCAATTTCACCCAATTGGAAGCCCATCTCTTTCAACTCGGAAATCGTAACGAAGCGTAAGAACCGAGCTTCCTTGTATGCATTCTCGGCGAATTTCGCATGGATATTGTTGCCTAAGTCATATTCCGTGCAGAATTCGTCAAGTGGTATACCCCTCCCTTGAGCACGAGATGGATGTAAGAGTGTAGTACAAGCAGAGTCAGACGAGTGCGACGTGGAGGATAATGCTGGTGCGACAGCGGCAGCGGGCAGCCATGGGCGAAAAATGTCGAGAACCTCATTTCCGATAGTGAAGTTGAAGACTGGTGCAGAAGGTGATGACACTTTAGTGTTTTGCGAGTCCAGTCGTCGCTGAAGTACAGGACTGATCTTTCGAACATCGAAGAGCTTATGGTGAGGTGGCTTCTCCAGTGTTGCTGTCCCGTCGTCTTTGAGCTTTATGAATCAACACTTGTTAGCAACAGGCAGCTCTTTGATAAATGACTTACCATTGCAGATGCCCAGCAATCGAACCGTTCGGCATTGAGATGCAGATGTTCGTCCGTGCTCGAATCAACATAGCAATGCGTTGATGGACATGCGGCATCTGATTTCTTGCAAATCCAATGCTCACAGATGCTCTGTATGTTCGTAATCTTGTGTTGATTTCCGGGAAGAATGGCAGCTGCTTCCTTCTAAATAGTAGAGTATATGCGTGAAAATTAGCACATAAAACACTCAGAAAATTGCCTGTACTCGTTTTTTAGCTTTCTCGTTCACAGTCGGCTCAATTGCAGCTTCGTTCTCCTTGAGTTCGTGGTTCTCCTTCTGAATAATTGTCACGTTGATGGGTTGGATCATTGCCTTTCAGATTTGCTGCTCGTTTCACCAAAACATCGAAATCTTTCTCGTCGAGGAGGGATAAGCCAGGTTTGGGAAGGACACGCGGAATGAACCAGGAGACCTCGTAATCCTCGTAGCGGAGCAGTCCAGGGTTGAGTGCATCTGAGATTTTGACGAGAACTTGAGCTTTCATGGTGTCCCAAGGCTCGTCAAGATTGAGTGCGAAGGTTTGATTCCTCGAGGTACGTTTGCTCGCAGGTTTCTTCATCTCAGCTGCAGAGGTGATGCTCGTGATAAAGGTGACCTCTTTTACACCTGCCGGAGGGTCAGGGTCAGACGGTGCTGTAAAAATAAGTAATCAAGCCACAGTTTCATGTAGTAGGGATCATTAGTCACATAGTTTAGTTCCGCGCTTTCGCTTTTTGGACGTGGTCGGAGGTGGTGTAAGGATCTTCGTAGGCTGGGACTGCTCAGGCTCGTTATCTTCGTCGTCATTATCTGAGTCAGGTTCTTCTTCCTCCGAAAGTTCTTCGATTCGAGTATCGTGCTCATCGGAGCTATTGGAATCAAGGTCACTGTCATGCTCTAGCAGGCTCTTGTGTTTTTTAGAGGCAGGAATAGTTATAAACAGCATAGTGATAACGAATTACAGGGAATGTGAGTGTACGATGAGCAAAATTCTACTAAGTCCCACATTTCCTAATTGAACGAAAATTCACGCCACTGCCATCCTTTATGCAAAGCGCTGTAATACTAATTATCGTTGAATCTGCAACAAGGTCTGTTTTATCATGGCCGGCTGTACCACTCCACTTAAGAATAGTGCTCACATCAACCAAGAGTCTAGTTCACTTCAATTTCTAATACCCTCTACACCTGAATCATACCCCAGGTCTGCACCAGCCAATTCCTACCACTTCCCTTCCCCTTCACGTGTTGCCGCACCACAGACACCCACCCCTCTCAAAAGATCTTTTCCATCAGACGAAAATTCCATTCCTCAATTCGTTCTCCACTCATCGAGTGCAAAGAAAGCACGGACAGATGCAACCACTGGCAATGTCCCCGAAACCAATGGCAGCAAGCTCGCCTATACTCCATCAGGAAAACAACCGGTCACTTTTCTCACTTTATTAATCACTTAATTACATGAAAAGGACAACTAAGTCATTTGAGTGAAAAAGTGTGAGCCACTTAATTAAGCCCACTCCATTTCTGAATTTTCGCTTTTTTCACACTTATTTCACTTAAAAAAGCAGAAAAAGCAGCACAAGCATGTCATTGAAAAGGGCCCCGGCATACAAGAAAGTAAAATAAGCATAAATTAAGGAGACTCCTGGAAATAAAAAGTCAGGGGCTAGCCAAACATACTAGGGGGGAAGGGGTGGGTATGTGGGCAGAAAACAGTGGGGCGGATGATGATGATGGAAATCTACTGTACTAGGGTAGCAGCGATGGTATAGTAACGACTCGTATCCTGCAGCAGCGCTAGATGTCAGCAAGATTTTGAGCAAACAGGATGGAGTTTGTTACCTTGGAGTTCTCGAGGGAGGTGTCTTTGTTAGCGTCTAAGATGACGCCAGAGGTGTAGGTCATGCGTGGGCTGAGGAACCTGTGATGTGTGAGGAGGAGACAATATGGGTTGAAGGGGCGAGGAAGACGGCTCATTGGATGTATTCATTCTACAAATGAACAAAGTTAGTCCTGCACGTCACTCGCTGTAAGCATCAGAAATGCTTACCCAATGCAAAGTGTCCATGTGATGGTACATGGTTGCCGTCGGCAGCAGCACGAGCACGAGGATGAGGATCGGAGGGAGGGAGTCAATGTGGACTTGTTGGGTTGTGTCGAGGGTTGCCCCTGGGCGTGTTACGGAGGTGACTTGCACAGGACGGTGCGGTTACGCTTGCCCACCTCGAGCCAGCCCTCTTCTTGCACGTTGTTTGCTGGGGTGTTGTTGTTCTGCTGAGTTGGAGCCTGGTTGGGGTTGGTGAGTGATGAGGAGAGTGTTAGAAGCTCTTCTTCGAGCATGTCGAGGTAGAATCCTAGGAATTCTTCTGCATCTTCTTGATGCCCGCCCTGTCAATACAAGTCAATATCGAAATCGTCAGGAAAGTCCACTCATGCACAGTACTAGACAATGATACCGATAATTGAAGGAACGAAGTCACAGCCGTTATCTGGTAACACCATGTCAGCGGGTGCAACCGTCTCCTCACTCTCCTCTGGCTGACACCCACTGCAATTACAATCCTGGGCACGTGATGGCGGTGGGGGAGTAGTCAGGCACGTAGCGCAGGTGCAGGACATGTCAAATGGTGGGTTGTTGTACAGGGCATCAATCTTGTTGACCTTGCATTGTGAGAGAATGAGCCGGGCCATTGAGATCTGCATGGTCTCTTTTGTTGTTTCAGTGGTGTTGCCTTGGCTGACTATTTGTTTTGCTGTCTGAACAACATCCTTCGACACATAAACAATGCCTTGTGCATCTGCGAGGTTTCGTTTTTGATTGGCCTGCCCAAAGTTCTGAAGCAACTCGTCACTTGTAGCAGGTTGAGGGAAGACAACGACACATCCGATATTTGGAGGGTCGACTCTGTTGGTTAGGGCTGCAGTCGAAACAATGATGCGGGGGGTTGTGGATGAGTCGTCACGTAAGTCATCCAATGTTTTGTTGTTATGGTTGGTGAAGTTGGCTGAGTTGTACAGACAGATACACTCGTGCCTGCCTGGTGTCTCTGCAGCCTGTTCAAGCAGGTAGGCGTGCACATGGAATGCCATATGGACAGTAGGTACAAAGATGAGAGAGTTATTGGTGCAATCGAGGATCCACCGGAGCTCTGGAAACTGAGTTCCACTTAGTGTTTTAAAATCCAGTTGCAGGACCGCAAAAAGACCAGCAACCAGACCGGACCAGACCGGGTCCTAAGAAGGACTGGTTGCAGTCTTTTCCAGTTGCAAGATCAGTCCAGTCCAGTTGCCTGAAGTTTGCGAAAAATAAATAAACCGGTCTAAACCGGTTAAAATCGGTTTAGACCGCAACCAGTTTATATGTACATGTAGTACTCGTCAGCGCGGTTCTAACGGTGGTCCGATCATGTAAAACGGCTAAGATTTGACAAAGTTATGAGCATTACAAGAAAAAGCTGCAAATTCACGGGATGTCTTGTATCTTAGCTTTTATCTAGACCAGACCATAATCAATTGACAAGGTAAGACCAGCTATAGACTCGTCTATACTAAGGTTACAAGTAATGTTGACACACCTAAGCCTTATAGTAACAACTTTGATTTTGTGACATTTCATATACAGCAAGTCAAAATCAGTCAAAATCACCGATTGGCTCATAACTTACCCAAACCTTGAGTGTCCAACAAGATATGAGCTATAGACTTGCCTAGACTAGGACTACAATTAACATTAAGACACCTAAGCCTTACGACCACTTTTATTTTTCAAAGACAAGCCCGATAAGGATTTTTTGTCAAGCTTATATCTTGCTTATATCTTACCCTATTGACAAGATAAGACTAGCTATAGTATCGCCTTGACTAGCAGCACATATTTCATCAAGAAGCCTAAGCATGGTAATGACATTTCATATTTGACTCACATGCAGGGCGGAGTTTGGGAACCCTTTTTTATAATGCTCGTATCTTGCTCAGATCTTAACCGTTTAATACAAATAAACCACCGTTAGAATCGTGGGAAGGAGTGCTACACTCCCACAGGACTGGTCTCGGTTGCAACCAGTCTAAGACCGGTTGTAGGACTGCAAAAGACCGAAAACATCGGTCTTTACAGGTCCAGTCCAGTCTTGATGATATTGTGGGAATGAAAAGACTGGTCTGGTCCGGTTGCCTCCAAAAAAGGCAAAAAGACCGGACTGGACCGGACTTTAAAACACTAGTTCCACTGATGCCCGACTTGGCTATGCGGAAGATAATGCGTACATCACTCCTCAAATTTGACCGCCGTACGACATGGTCATGTCCCCTACGAAAGCCCAAGAATCCAAGGACCTCTGCCTCTGATTTTTTTTGCAGCGTGGCAGTTACAGCAAGCACTGGAACATGACGTCCTGCACGAGAGCACATCCAGCCTATCTTTTTGTATGATGGCCGGATAGATAAACCCCAGAGGTCAATAAGGTGAGCCTCGTCAACAACCATGACACATAAGTGTGCTGCAAATGCCTTGTTATCCACAACAGAACAGAAACCCGATGATTCGAGCTGCTCTGGAGACAGCAGAATAATCGCAGTCCCTTCACAGACCTTTTTGAATAGGCTGGAATTATCGTTGCTTGCTTTGCGCGCTGCAGCGACAGTGTCTTGGTTAATGACGGTGTTCGTGAGTTTAGACTGTTTAGCTTGGGTCATTTTTTTCCGCCTGTTGATCACATTAACATTGATTCTCGACGAACATGAATCGCTGTGCAGAAATGTACCAAGTCATATTCAAGTGCTTTTGTCGGGCATATTGCAAGCATTGCAGGATCAGGGGGAAAGTTTTTGCCAGGTGCGAGTGACGGGTTTTTGGACAGCGCTATAATGACGTGCATGAGTCGAATAAAGGCATCTGTCTTCCCGGATCCTGTAGCCATTGTGCATAGGACATCATCGCCATCCAGCATGTGTGTTATGACTTCGAGCTGGTAGTCATGAGTGTCAAATGGCATGGTCTCTTGGAGTAATTTCCGACAGAGCGCACGTCCTTCATCTGAACAGAAGACAAATGCCCCCATATTACGGTCATAGAATAGATCAAGTCTTACACTATGTTCAAATCTACAGGCTATCTGACATGTTTCGGCTGCTCGGCATGGTCGTACTGAGTTTGATTTGTTTGACATTTGCGAAGCGACAGTGTCTAAAAAAGGAAATCGAGTGTACTACGGTATCGATGGTGCCAACAGATGCAGACTAGTGGACGCCAGGGAAAGCCACAGAATGAGCACCGTGCGGAAGATGACTTTGAACTGAGAAAAAGCACGGAGTTGGTGACTAATGCCACTGATGTGGCCTTGTAATTAGTCTATACCTTGGTGCTTAAAACAACAGACTATACACTTGAAATTTGCTAACGTGGGCCAGCAAAATGCAGGAAGGAATATGAGAATTTGCTCGTTTGGTTTAGATTTGGTGCTTGGTGAGTTCTAGATTCGGTTCTCGTTGCGTTGTGAATTCGTCGTCCTCATTCTGTTGTGGAATTCAATCCTCGTTTGGTTTCGTTACACCGGCAAGCAAAAGAAAACTGACAAACCAGCACAACCGATGCAGGTGGGAGACTCGTGCACGTGTAGGAGGAATTCCTTGGACTGCGTTCTGGATGCGTTTCCGCAGAGTATGAATTTCAAGCTGTTTGAAGACGAAGAAGCCACTGGGAGTACCTCGGGCTGAATCAGCTTGTGCGAGTTGATGTCCTAAAGTGGTTCTAAAGCGTTCAAGAACAACTTACTGAGTACTTGCTGGGATACATCAGATGTTCATATTGTATCATAAGATGCTTTGCAATTTGACCGAATCATCAGGCACGAAGCTTCAAGCTTGACGGGAGTAGGTGAGACAGTATTGTGTGTATGAGGAGGTTCCAGTACTGGTGCCACACTAGTGTACGGATACTACAGAAGGCGGCGCCACTGGTAGTAGCACAGCAGTGCAAGTGTCATCTGCCAGTGGCAGTTTGGATAGGAAATATCGGACCCGCAAGTGGTACTGCAGGGACTGCACGAGCTCTTCCATTACCGCGACCTATCACTGGCTGGGGGCCGGGCTGCCAGGCAAGAGGCATTTTTCGAAAAAGCATGCTCCCGTGAACTGTAAGGGTCACCAAAATTTCCCACGCTGCGGGGTTGACTCTCTTTCATGTGACAAGTTTCCATGCATGCAAGATCAAACATCAACTACTTTCAACTTGAAGTGGCTCAAAGACGAGGGCCCAACAGTTATTAGTGGTACTCAAAATAAATTTTGAAACTCTTGAAAACTCGCTAAACTGCGTTCAACTCCCTTCAACTCCCCGCTTAAAGTTTGAAAGAACTCGTGCAAGTCCGAGAGAAATGTGCTTGGCACACGTCGGCATGTAGTCAGACTTTAAAACGACACTTGTTATTTTCAAAGCGTGCTATGTACATAGGGGAAAGTGGTAGAGTAGCGGTCAAACATACTTGTATTTCAAATGAAAGCATTAATAAAAATTGTAAAAAAAACAAGGCCCGCAGGAATGAAATCAGCTGTAGGTAGGGAGTGCGGGAGGGACCAAAATAAGCGCCGAGGGGAGGATGGGGGGACGCTGAGCAGCTGGGGGGGGGATGGAAATTGTCGGGAGGAAGATTTGCATGCCTCCGCGAAGACGCAAGATCAAGTGGAGGGTGGACTCCTTCTGGATGTTGTAGTCACTGAGAGTACGGCCATCTTCGAGCTGCTTTCCAGCGAAGGTGAGACGCTGCTGGTCAGTTGGGATGCCCTCCTTGTCCTGGATCTTCGCCTTCACATTGTTGATGGTGTCCGATGACTCCATCTCCAACGTGAGGGTGCCTCCGTGGAGACAGATAAGGAGGCGGAAGGTGGATAGGCCGTTTGCCGGTAAGGGCGAGGCACCGCTGGTCAGGTGGGATGCGTGTGGGATCCGGATTATAATAGATTTCCTATAAAATAAAAGTAAATGTTAGTTAACTACACACAAAAATGACTTACCTTGGGTGGATGGCACCCGAAAATTGGATGGTGGCCTTCTCGGCGCTGTGGATGGGCATCGAGGTTCAAGGGTGAGGTCGACAACGACAACGGCGTGCTCAGTGCAAGACGAAGCCTCGGAACTTTCCGAAATTTCAAACTCCGCTGAAAACTGCGTCACATATGCACCCAACAGATAGGAGTTTTGATCTCGCACCCACCTTAGCCCCAACCATGCCTCGTCCATCCACACGTAAAGACCTCCTCAATGCTGTTGATAAGGCTGCACTTGCACTAGCCAAATTACAGTACCAGAATGAACTCCTAGACGACTATTCCGACTCTGACTCTGATTCTGACATGGACTCGGTTGCTACTGATGATGAAGGCACCAATATGACTTACAGCTCTCCAACCCCACCATCCCTCATCTCTTCTATTTCTTCCGGTGATGAATCGGACGATGTTGCTGCCCATTACGACAGGCTTCAACACACTATCACTGCTTTTCGTGACGAGGTTGAGAGGGCACGTGTAATCCACAAGCCTGATGAGCCTCCACCACGAGCACCCCAGCTTCATATGCTGGTTCACCACGAGGAACATCGCCCTGACTTATTCCGGCAGAAACTTCGTGTTAACCCAGAAATCTTTGACGATATCCTTGATCAGATCTCCGATCACCCTATCTTCCGCAACCACTCCAATAATCCTCAGCTCCCCGTCTCCATCCAGCTCGCCATCTTTCTGAATCGTGCTGGCCACTATGGCAATGCCATCACGCTCGAGGATGTCGCTCAATGGGCAGGTGTGAGTGTCGGGTCAGTGGTCAATTGCACTAATCGTGTGATGGTTGCACTACTCGAAGAGCATGATAAGTTTATCTGCTTCCCAGAAGATAATTCTGAGGATGCTCACCTCGCTAGGAAGTGGGCTGAGCTGAAAACTTGTCCAGAGTGGAGAGGTGGCTACCTAGCCATTGATGGCTCAACTATTGAACTTTTTGCCAAACCTGGGTATTTTGGCGAGTTTTTTTTTTGACAGGAAATCCAACTATTCCCTTGGCTGTCAAGTAATGTGCTATTCTTTCTTTTCATTCACAAATAATTTAATTTAATTCTAGGCGGTCATTATGCCCCACAACCTCTTGATTGTGGATTATTCTCTTGGACATCCTGGGAGTGTCCACGACACATTCACTTTTCGATCCACTCACCTCTATGAAGAGCATGATACCCTTCTTCCTGATGGTCACTGTGTTTGGGCAGATAGTGCATATCCATTGGAGCCATGGTGTATTGCCCCTTTCAAGAAACCCCGCAATGGACGGTTGACAAAAGACCAGAAGACATTCAATTACCACCTGTCTAAGGTTTTTTTTATTCTGACAGTTTTTCAATGAATTAATTTTTTTTGGTAGATTCGTGTATGTGTTGAACACGTATTTGCTGTTTTGAAGGGGCGGTTTCAGTCTCTCCGAGAGCTCCGGTTCAACATTCAGAGTGAGAAAGACCTGCATTTTGCCGTGCAGTGGATCAAGTGTTGTATCATCCTCCACAACATGATCATTCGCTTTGAAACCCATCGCCACAAGCAGGATGGAACATATGAGAGTACTCTGAAGTGGGCTCGTGTAGAGGGTCAAGATTTCACCCCTCAAGATGTTGAGGGTCCAGAAGGAAATGATGTAGTTGGTGACAGGTCTTATGAGGGAACTCCAGGTCAGGTTGCTCGTGCGAGGCTGATGGATCAGCTCTTCAACAGTCCTCACTCAAATGCACAGCATAGGGAAGGGTGAACCATGCTCACAATTGACCAAGATGTGTACTACCAGTAGTACACTTGTACAAGTAACATGTATGTAACATATGTAAATCAATCAACTACAACACACATACAAAATCACAACAGGATGGCAACAGAAATAGCAACAACAGCAATGAGATGATGATGATGAAACAACGATGACGAGATGATGAGACAACAATGAGACAACGACAACAAAGAGACAATGATGACGATGAGATGGCGACGGTGACGAGATGATGACGGCGATGAGATGATGACGGCGACGAGATGATGATGGCGACGAGATGACGGCGATGAGATGATGACGAGACTCAGGAACCACTGCTACCACCCTGTTTTAGTTGGTGATACTGAATGCGCAAACTGTCATATCCCATACATGAGGCTTCTCATCCGGTCCGGTCCACCCAATTTCTCGGGTCCGTTCTAGAATTCGTTCCGAGGACTGCGCTTCGGCCGGACGTCCGTCGGATACCTTATAGTATATAAATCCCTTGTAACCCGTAGTATATCCTTAGTTTGAATATCATCTTAGACTCAGTTCATTCCTCGTTTCCCTCGGCTCTTGGGATTGTCATCCTAGTCCGACCCTCCGAGCCTCGGGATTATATCCCTAAGGCTAAATCCCTCCGCTTCTACCTTCGGGTAGCCCGTACCCTGTTAGTTTCTACCCAGACGAAGTCTCGGGTAGTCTCCCCTATTTCGTCCGGCCCATCCATATACCTCGGCCGACGATATCTACCCCCTGTAAATTAGGGGCACGTACTCGGGTAAAGAGCGCAGTGCACGAGCTGAAGCTAAGCCCCTCCGGTCCGACCCGTTGAACATGGTCTTAACACAAACGCAAATTCTCTGCCTCCTTGTCGAGAACCGTGGAATGTGCCTGGTGCACTTGAATGTCGACTTCTCGAAGGCGAATTTCGGCATCTCTATTCTCCTGCTCCCGCTGATGTTGGACAATGGCTTGAGATGCCTCATGTTCGCGAGCGTCACGAAGCCAGGTGTACTTCCTCATGTCGCGGTGATTTTCGCTCTTTGCCTCGAGTTTCGCCATGAACCGCCGGTCTTTGGAGTCGCGGAGGGACATAACATCAGACTGGATGTTCCCAATTTCATCGGTCAAGGTGTCCACCTGATCCTGCATGCCGCTCGACTTGGCTTTCTTCTTCTTCGCGCCACCATTTGGTTGGGCCGACAATGATGTCTGTGGGGTCGGAGATGATTGGAAGTCGGATGATGTCGTGTTGTGGGTTGTGGATGA